CCTAGTTTTTAATGGAATAGATTGTCATCTGGGTCACCATATTCTCCCATCTTGGTAATTTATAAGTACATGTATTACTTCTTTTTCTTGATTTTAACATTTTTCCTTCTTCTTTATCTTTGTTATAAGACCATTGTGATTGTCTGTGGTGTATGAGAAATAAATGCTCCATTTTTTATCATTTCTCTTGTATGGCTAGGGAAAAAAGGTAATTTTGTTAATGATTATATATATGTATACATAAGAAAATATGAGAGCATTGTGATTTCTGATGAAGATAGTGTTAAAAAAAATTGAGAAAATATGAGAGCATTGTAATTTCTGACGAAGATAATGTTAAAAAAAATTAAGTGAAAGAAAGAACTATATTATTTTTTATAGTCATGCTGCAAAATTTTTCTTTTTTATGATGAAAAGTGCGCTAACGTTGAAAGATATAATATAGATACTAAATTGTTGAAACCATAGTTGGGATTACTGGAAGGATAGTTGAGAAATAATAAAATTGTATGTTGCTTTTGGTTGTTCTAGGTTTAATTCCCATATGGCAAGTATTTCAAAAAAAGAAGTATTTAGTTATTTTTATATTGAAGGATATTTTTTAAAAGATTAATAAAAGAAGATGACCTATGAAGGCAGGACATCAATTTCTAAATTGAGTAGAGAAGGTATAAATAATCAAGAGTGTTGTTGAAGATGATCTTTTATTCAAATAGCCACACTATATATATTTTTTGACTGTATAACTAGTTATAGAAATAAGTTTGCAATCTAAGTAGTTTTTTGGAAGCACACTGCACAACTACCATTTAGGTAGATGGTAGGAAGGGATTTTTTTTTTTTGTGTAGAAAGGGATGCAAATATAGTGTATATGTACTGAAATTAGTGTAATGTAATGTTAATGTCTATTTCAAGTTTAAATATGTGCAACTATAAATGCTTTGATAGCAAAATATGAACCCAATGACTTATAAATTTCATGCTTGTTAATATATAGTTAGATTACTTGAAAAATTAAAAACATAACACTGCTGAAATCACCATTGTGATATAAAAATTTTGTTAATGTCAGTTGGATAAATAAGGAACTACATGCACTGGGGAATAGATTGTTCCCTACTATAAAAACAAAGATACCATACTAGGGAATTTTTCTCAAGTGACTTGAAAATCAAGATAATCCACTACTGAATAAAACGAGAGTTATTTGGACATTTAACAAAAACTACTTAGAATTAACTGCTATATCATGTACATTGAGCAATAAAAAACACTTAACTATAAAAAGTTTTAATTTATATAATATATATAACCAAAACATTACTTATGAAAGTACATGTCACATTTGTCCAATCTATGCTTTCAATCTTTTTGCTTCTCCATGCTTGGCATTTGAAATATATGTCATTACTTGTTAGGCTACTTTATTGTGTGGATGAGTCACTAGCCAATATAATAGTTCAGATCTTATTTTACTCAATTGTTACTATATAATTAGAGCAAGTCAATGAACAAACAATAACAATAAAATTGTGATGCCCATAAATTTTGTTTGTCACTCTTTCAACTAACCTTTGTTAATAAAAGCAAGGTATGATCGACCCATTCTTCTTGTGTAATATTGTTCTATTGTCTAAGGCAAATAATGACATACAATCACCTATACATAAAATTTTTTCAAGATAAAATATGTGAATATGGGTAAAAAAATTTATTATTGAATATATCTAACATCATTAATGAATACTCATGATAAAACTATTGAATTTACCTTACATCAAATCTGAAATTTTCTTAAATCACTACCCACATACTATATAAATAAGGTGAAATTAAATTATAAAATAACTGCTGTCTAACAAGTGCTCGTTAAGTTGAATATAGAAGGGGAATAAGCTATGAAAAGAAGAGAGGCATGTGAAAATGTTTCGTTGGGTAAAGCAAAAATGAGTCTTTATAAGTCATTTGCAGTTTCATGGCGTGTACTTCGTTCGACTCATGAATTCTCGATTAAAATAACAATGAAATCTTGATTTTTAATTATTTGAGTTCGGCGACTTCACAATCATAACGAGAGGAATTTAATTTACCAAGCAAGAAAAGATCATGAATATCGTATAGTTGAGGGATCTATGTGCACAAGAAGAGAACAATTTTCAAAAAAAAAAGGAGATCCAACTTTTTTCTCAATTTAGATTTAGTTAGCCAGAAGAAAGGAGGGGGGAGCAGAAGGAGCAAGATCAAACAAGGATAACAGAAATGAAAGGTCAACAAAAGGGAAAGGCAAGAAGAAATTTGAGAACTTTACCCAGATATGAAGAACTGAGCTGTACAGAGCAATAATGAGTGGATTAACCAATGTCGATTGAAGACTAGTGTTTGAATGAAGAAACAATGTTTGTGCAGTACTATGACAAACGCCGAACAATCTTCAAGAATCACTGGTCGGCAACTATGAGATGGTTAGAGAGTAGAAAAAGGAACAAAGATCTTGGAGCATCTATGCTAGTATTTTGATTTTTTCTTTAGAGGCATTTAAGACAATTCACATTTTTTAAAATTTTAATGAGGATCATGGTCCTTAATTAGAATTTCAATATTTTATAATCTTCAATTGAAATTAATGATTTTAGGGGGTCTTTAATTGTCATTTTCTCCCAAAAAAAAAAAAACTCCAATTGCAATAGAAATGTCATCAAAAGGAAGATTGTGGGGGGTTACATCTTCTGTTATAAGGAAAATAATTTTGTGCTTCCCCTAAAAAGTACATATTACAATTCCACTTAAGATAGCACTCAAAGCAAACTCATATTTTTTATATGATTATCTAGTTGAGTTACATTCGAGCATTGTTAGGTGTAATTGAAAATAATTTTTTTAAAAATGTTTTCTATATTTACATAAGCATGAACTTGAGATTTTATATTTAAATGGCTATAACTCCTTCTAGCACTAGGATCAATGTCTGTTAGTATATAAACTCACATTTTGATAGTAGATCTAATGTATATGCATCACCATATCACAAATAAGAAATTATTTTATAGCGCTTTTGGATCAATGAGAATTTAGATTTGGATTTAGATTTAAATCAAATCCTTCAATTGAATATATAAAAATTTATGAATTTGAATTTAATTTAAATTCAAATCCATTTCTTGTTATAATTTTTTTGAAATTTCAAAATTCATTCTAAACATAATTATTTAAAATTTTAATCACGGTAAATATCTCGTTCTCTTCGAGTTTTACTATTGATAAATCTATGATTATTGTATCTTTTTCTATCTCTAGTCAAATAAAAAATAGAGATAAATTTATCATTCTTAATTTTTCTTTTTCATTTCAAATTTCAACTTAACTCTCTTTTTTATTTGAAATTTTTTAAATTACTAAGACAAATGCTTTTAAATACATAAATTTAAAATGAAATTTAAAATGTAAAATTTTAAATCTATCAATCCCTACGCTACGTTAATTCATTTTGTCAAGATTGAGTTTAATATTTGTTCAATAATATAATCATCGAAAGTAAGTAGCCTTTTTATGTTCAGCTTTAAAAGCACGTTAATTTGTCATAATTCGTTCTATGATCAACTCATTGTCGTAGCTACAATCAAGATCTCTGAAATAATATATATAGGAGAGAAGAAAGCATGTATTATTCTCATGGAGAAGCAAATAAGTTTTAACGACCAAAAATTTTATGAAAGGACTTCGTGTGAAAATGGATGTACGTTAAAGCCTGTTCCTTGTCGCTTCTCAACAATTTCATGAATTATTAGAACAAAAGTTCACTTTCACATAATTTTTATTTATTTTTTTATAATGGAAATTAAAATCCTGCATGGCCCAAATCTATAGATGTTTCAATCATAAAACCTTGACTTAGGGGTGAGACTGGTGACTAAAAGGAGCCATGCCCTCTAACTAATTAATTTTTTACATAAAATAGAGGGAGTTATATATTTCCGATCTCTTAAGTTGATACATTAAGCTTGGAGTATATGTATAGCAACTGCTTCAGTTTTTTGAATATATTACTATCATAAGATATATTTTACATTTGATAAAAGAAATTATAATAATTATTATTAACAAACTTTGTCAAGCATTATAATAAAAATTTAAGATATATTGAATGCTATATGCTTGATATTTATCATAAAATCACTTATTCAGGAGTTAATAGATTATGGTGAAGATATTGTTATAGAAAAATGTACTTTTTTGTCATAAACAAGTTATTAAAATTTATTATATAATTGATTTTTATTTTGAACATTGATATAAAAATTTTATAACAGTTGAGCATTATTATCATGTTGATATAAAATAGTAATTGGAAAGAGTTAAATAGTAAATTTAGTGAGTAAACAATAAAGCTTCTTAAATTGAATAAAACTTTGGATCTTAGTGATGGATTATATTAAAAAGAAAATACTATAGACATGATATCTAGTAATTGTTATACCATAAAAATCGATGAGCAAAACTTAAAAATGAAGCTACATATTTATTTTTATTATATATTTTTAAAATTGAATATGTGTGTGTTGAAATATTTATATTATAACAACTTTCCTTCAATTATCATACACTTTTCATTAAAAATTGTAAAATATTTTTAAACAAATTTCATCCTTTAAAAATTAGTTAATTATTTTAAACTAGCTATTTTCATATTTATTCTTATTTTATTGAGTGCTTCACTTAAAAATAAATATAAAATAATTCATTTATTAAGACCATTAAAAAAAATAAATTAATAATTATATTTTAAAATACTAAAAATGTCTTATACTTTTTAATATTCAACTTCTAAAAAAATATTTTATATTTTTTAATAGAAAGAGTATATATTATGTCATTTCTCCTAGATAAGATGTCTGGCTCCGCGCATGCCTTGACTTCCCAACACTACAAAACGACCAGCTCAATAAACGGACTTAAATCAATCAAACTAGTCGTATGGTCATAAACCCAATGTTTGTGAAACTAAAGCAAAAGTGAGGATTTAGATAGTTTTAATAAAAAGTGGGTCTCGTCCTTTTACACAGTTTGAGATGAATTGCATTATTTCCCCCTTTGACAACGGAGAAAGGAAAAAGAAACTACATAAAACCAAGCACATCAGCTTGCACACCTACAATTAAAAGCCATTTCAGCTGCTGCTGCTGCAACATAGCTTCCTTTAATTTGCATCAAGCAGACCATTCCCTCTGAAGGAGGCTTAACTTCGTTGCAGGCTGTGTTCCATCCTCATCAAGAGTTTGAAGATAAAGATGAAAGTTTAGGTGTGTAGCTAAAAACATCAAATTAATACAAGAAAGAATTTGACGATCTATATATAACACTCACCAAAAGAGAAAGAGAATTTGAGGGCAAATTTTTGGAAGTGATGATGGGTTATATATGTACATGGTATATTGGTTCTCTGTTTCAACTATCAAGTGGCATCAAGAGTTCCCCCAAACACTTCAGTGAGGTAAAAAGCACCATTGATTCATCGATGAGAGCCGAGGCCACAGTGAAGTGTTCGTGGGGAACTCTAGGGTTCACCCGATTTCTTAGGGCTTCATTTCAAGACTTCTTGGCAAAGAAACATGCACCAATGTGTCGCGTATTTATAGTTCTGATGATACACACGTGTGATGTGATTAATGTTTGGGCAGCGAACAAATTAAAGGCATCACCATAAAGATGAAAGCCATCATGCATGATCATGAGGCACAGATGAACCTGGACGGTTTTATAGACTACATGCTGAATGCCACCAACATAAGAATCTCAGTGTCAGACTTCGCTTTTCTTTCTATCTGTCCATTCTCTTACCTTTTTTAATTTCTGCTATATATTCTTGGCTTGAACACCTATGAACAGTACTTATTTTTTTAAAAATCTTTTCATTAATTCTTGAGAACCTTTTCATTCCGGTATATATGTAAAAATTGTTGTCACCATGAGAGGATCTATTCTCTGCAAATTGTTGAATACTAATAATAATTCAGTCAGGTACGTTTCCTTCTGGTATATATGATTAGTTCTTGAAGCATCAGCATCAGTTAGACTAAGATAGATCATTGTAGAAAAAGCAACGGAGAGAGCTCAGTAAAGATTTGATTCTCTGATGATATGGGAGACGAACAAAGGAGAGCTGAAGGCCACACTTCCCACTTCAATAGTGATATATATATATATATATATATATTCTGTAATTCCATCATCTTTGCCACAATCATGAACAGATTCAACGACAGTTCATCCTGATAGAGAAATTAAAGCTCCAGGTACACGTAGACTTCCGGTCCAACCTGTCTAGCTAGGTTCATATGGAAGATCTGGGGACAGATTGGTATAAGTATGGTGTTTTGCCTCTGATTTCTTCACCGTCAACACAAAACAAGATGAGCAGACAACAGAGATGATGATGATTCACGAGTTGTTATGATATACATAGGTCAGGTATCTCCTAGAGTTCCCTCGAACACTTCACTGAGTATAATTCTTGTACTACCACACTCACATCTCACTGAAGTGTTTGGGGGAACTCTGGGTGCCATCTGACACCCTACTCTACAGCTCCAACATCAACATGCTTGCTTTTAAGGTTCAGAGGTTATACGTCTTCAACATTCTTAAATTTACTACAATTTCTTCTTCACCGTATAGTCTTTAGTACTGCTTTGTATAAACTCAGATTCAAAATGCCAAACCCAGTTCAATCAATATCGGCATACAATTTTACGCTGTTTTATGTTTTGCTCATAATCAATTCTTCAATTTTTTTCCCCTTTTGATTATTAATTGATCACAGTCTATGTGATGGAGTTGAAGAGCAGGATCTGCATATGAAAAGGGAAAACCGAGGAACTAGGAGATGGATGGTCATTGGTTATGGAAGTTAGAAAACGAAAGCAGAAAGTTAATTTTTGTAATGATTACATTGAAAATGTAAAATATAGATTGAATTTGAATTTGAATTTTGTGCTGATGTAAGAGTTCCTCTACATATTCTGTTATTTAAGCAGGAAATAATTATAAGAAAGGCTTCTTTTGTTGCAATAGCCAATTGCCCAATGCCCAGTTTGTGATAGCCTAAACAAGGTTCATCAAGTTTCAAGTCTTTGAATAATTATATTGTTTATTAAAAAAGTAATTATATTGCTTTATAATTAATTAAAAGTAATTTGTGTCCGGCAGAGTTCTTTATGATCAAAATGCCGAGCCCGGACTCCGGCTTAGTCCAATAATAAATCGACCGGATAAGGTGGCTTGTTTTTCTGGCCTAATCCAATAATACTGATATAAATTGAATGATTTATAAATTGAAGTTTTAGACTTTTAATCGTTGAACTAATAACTTTATGAAATATTAATCCAAAAACACATCCAATTTTAAATCAATACATATGACAATGATTTTAAATTTCAATAAAAAAAGGGGAAAAAGCATGAAGTTCACTTTGTGAAGAACTAGTTCAGGTCTTCAAGACAATAACTGAAGATGAATTCTATATTGGGCTCCACAAAAGAATTGATTTTATTTATCTCAACAATTGATGGGAATTTAGCATGATTTCAACCTTTCATGAAACAAATTAAGGTTACAGAAAGCTCATATGCTTTAACGTGATTCAACAATTAACGGAGGCTCTTAAAATCATCCCTAGTTAATTAAGGAACAATCTCTGGGAAACACCCATATTAGTATCATCAATGAAATAAAAGAACATTATCATCCAGAAATAGTCAATTAATTATGATTACGTGTTTAGAGAAATAAATTCTTACCCAAATTAAGCATATTTTATCTAAAAACGCTTTTGAATAGAATAAAAAAAATATAACTTCATGACACAAAAAAATAATCTTAAATTTCTAATTGCAAAATAAAAATAATTTTTTAACTTAAAAAATTATTTTACTCCCACGTTCCGTTTTGCTTTTATCAACATTTGTCACCTTTTTTATTTTCATATTTTTATTCCATCTCTATCTCTACCTTCCAAACACCAAATGGAACTGACCATATTACAAAATGATCATTTATGGAATGTGACTGTGTGGTAACGTTTTAAAAATGGAATCCACGATGAACTAGAAAACTCAGTAGATCACGGTTCTTATAATTTAACCAATTTGACTAGTAATTAAATTAGTAACATGATAATTAAATTAAAAACAATATTTAAATAAAAAATTGGTCAAAATGATCCAACAATTATGAGTCTCAAATTTTTCTTCGGGTTTTCAAAAACCACCCAGATCAAAATGGCTAACTTGGGTCAATTACTAGAACAGACCAAATAGTTAAATCAAATTGCTTTCTTCTAACAACGATCTGACTATCCAAGCTGGTTTGGGTTTGAAAATATGGCTGCATGTAATGGGATTAAAATGTTTTATTGCTTTGGAGTTTTATTGGGAGAAATGAACAGCTTCATTTAACCATGGTTTAGAAATAATTTTATAAAATTTAATCATGGATTTGAATGGGTTACTCTACTAACTCCTTTAAAAATGTCAGGTATTTTTTTACAATTAAAGTTTTAAAAATATAAAGCATTTTTAAGTTTTAATGTGTACCTAATAAGTTTTTTCCCCCTAAAAATTAAATATCCTTGATAAATAAGTCATTCAACAATTTACCTTCAAGTGAGACATACCCTATTAAATAAAGATAAATATAAAAAGATAATATCAGTGTAAACACAATTAACTAATTATTGAGTCTATAATTCAATTAAAAATTTCTTATAATTTTTTAACAAAGAGAAAAATTATATTTTCTCAAAGTTAGAGTAGGAGGAGGTAGATGATTATTAGGAATGGAAGGGTGAGAGGGGTTGAGAAGGAATGTTATAATTTTGTTATAATATTATTTATTTTAAGCTATTTCATATTTGACCCTCAAATTGGAAGGTTAGGAAAAAAAAAAAAAGATTTAGAATAGCTAAAGGATAGTTTGGGAGCTTATCCTCAGCTATTTAGAAATATGTAAAAATTTCTTATATTAAAAGACGGACGAGAGTGATCAGGACACTTATAATTAAAACAAGCATGAAAAAACAGATCCATGAAGTTACAGAGACTCGCCCTAACTGTCGATCACATTTGATTGCTTGCGATTAACAGTGAGTAATCAGTTAACTGGTTTGATTACAAAATTAAATGAATTGAATTTTTTTAAAAAAAAATTGTATAGCCATATGATATTTTCACTCCATCAATTTGAGCGCTGTTTGGCTCAATTGAAAATAACTCTCTCAAATACATTATTATTATTTTTTTTTACATTTATACAAATTTAAATTTGAGATCTCAGATTTTAATGAACATGCTTGTATTAGGATTAACATTTGTTAATAAAAAGAAATAAAATTTAAAAACTGAATAAACGGAAGCAAATAAATAGAATCCAATCTGGATGGCTTGGATTTTCAAATTGGGTTGGGTTCGGTTGAGTCATTCGTAACTCTTTTCTTATTTAGAAGTAACTCTTTGCATTTGGCCATAAAAAAACTTCTTTGCATTGAGATGCGGTCATTGCCTAGGTCATTCATGGGAGTCTGAGCCATTGAACCTGGACGCAGTTTCGGCTTCGGAGGGAAGGTTGAGGAGAGAGCGTTCCTTTCCTCTCCTCACTTTCTTTTCTTATTCTGGGATGGAATATCTAGCTCGAATCTCAGCCATCTTCACACTACACGCACCCTTATTCTTGCCTTGCTATATTCATCCTACAAGAACGAGCTCGTTTGCTGGAATCATTACCGCATATCTTCTGTTGTTTTACCTTCTGATGATTGTTCTCTATGTCCCCTCTGCACTTCACCCTCCTTCTCGACCAGGTTCACTGAGTCCTCTATTACCTTCGTCATCGTTTCTGCATTATAAATACGTTTCACTTCCTCTTCATCTCCCACCATACCATAACACATCAATTTGTTGGCTGTCTCTTGGAGTTCCTCTGAACACTTCACATATATACATATATATATATATACATATGGGACCCACACACATTGGGTGGGTCCCTTCTTCAATGAAGTGTTTGGGGGAACTCCCTGCACCAACCAACATTGCTTCCCTGTGAACATATACATATGCATATACATACAGCAAGAATTGAATTATTAATGAAGCAAGCTTTATTCTATTCCCAGCATGTTCGTGTACATATAGAAATCATCACATATTTGAAGTGTTTGGGGGCGCTCTGGTATTCACACCTTCACTCCGTGGATTATTTTCTTCTGCATTTTTCACATTCTCATCATCATTATAGATCGCACCATCTAGAAATTGAAAAGACACACAAATTTCCATATTCTCTAGCATAATCTAACCAGAGTTATTCCTTAATGTCAACTCAAAAGCTTAAGTTGTTATATGTATATATATATATATATATATATATTCTGTTTCTGCCTTGTCTGTTACAACACCGAGAGTTGGACTGCCGCACCAGCTTGTTGAATTAGATGGTGTTCTACCTTGTGCTTTCCAGTCCTGGTCCAACTCTCGTACGGCTCTATCTGCTGCCATTTTCCATTTCCGAGGTAAAGTCTGGGACGAGGGTCGATTTTCATTATCTGAAGTGAAGTTGCATTCTTCAGAAGATAAATTGCAGTCTCAATCTCGCTCGTCTGGCCTCTCATGCCTGTTATCAGTACCTCTTTCAACTGCTCGTGTGCGCATCTGGGAGGCCAGTTTCTGTCTTTCGCTTCTTCTCCAACATAGGAGTTTGCTCCTAGCTGTAAAATATATCAAACTCGTGGTTTTCAATTTCTTTTTCATGTTATTACAATTACAAGGTATACATATCCGGTCAGATTCAAGTATTGCCGGTTTCAATGATACTTTCTTCTAATTTGCTTTTTTTTTTCCCTGCTTATATGAAGTTCAAATTTCCGATCATCCTTAGAGAAAATGGAGTTCCTTGGTTCAGTTTCTTTTTCCTTCAGCAGTTTAACTACACACATTCAATTTGACATATAACGCAACCCAATCACAAACCAACAAACTAGTCATATATTTAGACTAGCGCCAAGCTACTTGTGTCCCACAATGTCTGTATATTTATGCAGATATGCCCCACATTTCCTGTTTCCCAAGCAGTACGTACACGCACTAAGTAAATGCAAGATTTACATTAGTTGATGTAAAAGCTTAGAAAATCACGTTTTTTTTTTAATTGACATTCTAATGAAGTGTAAGGTATGAAGGAACGTTAGTTTTTATAAGTTGACTTACATGTAGCTCTAGTTTTTGGAGCCTTGGACACGCCTTTAGAATTAATGCTATCCAAGAAAGGTCATGCTCGTGCTTGTTTAGTTTCAGAATTATCAAATGTCGAAGATTATGAAATCTGGGGATGCACAAAGCCGCTGCCTGAAACAAAGAAAATGAAACATCAGATAATCCAACGTTCGCAGAAATTTCAAGTTAACTGGTTCTCCCATCTTCAATATTATTAGTCTAGTCATCTTACCATGTGACAGGTGGTTTCTAAGAAGAGAGTTTCCAGATGAGGAAGATCATTTGGAAGCTTACAAAGTGGCAAAATATCGCTATAACTGATCCTCCAATCATTCACACCAGTGAAAACAGTTCTTAGCTTCGGAGTATCAAGGAATTGGAACCATACGAATCTGCCTTTGTATTCTAGAGTTTCAATATTAAGGCTTGTTAGCTCAATTGTCTTCAGTTGAGGACAATCATTCACGCTCAGATACTTGAGCTTCTGGCAAAAGGGGTGCTCAATTCTCAAATAATGCAGATTCCAACACATGCAGAAACTCAAGGACTCGATATTATCGCAATTACATAGCAGATTCTGAAGGTGGTGGTCTGACACTAAATCAACGTTCACGAGTCCCAAAGACGTCAGTGTGCTGAAACCTAAGAAAATGGACCATTGAGGCCCTGGGGCCAATACGCAATGGGCTAAACGCAGGCGTTTCAGAGACCGAATCCCACGGAGAAGAGCACAAGGGAAGGCATAAAGCCCTTCACTTGGAGCACTGAAGACATTTTGTTCCAACAAGCACAGATCAATCTCTTCAACTTGCCTCTTAAGAGCAAAACCAATCCACCGATCGAGTTTACAGGCGTAGTATCTGTTATTCCCAAATGTGAAGTGAACCTTGAGAGTCTCAATTTTCGGGACCCCTCTGACACAGTGCAAGTAGTAACCCACGATTTTCAAGAATTCCACGGTTCTTTTCATCTTTACAATGTCTCTTTCCAAGCACAGCATTTGGGATACGTTGATGTCAGAATACTTGTCATTGTCAAGCATGTTGTGTGCATCAAGCACGAGACTTGTGGGACATTTGAACAGATTTCTCCATCTTGATGAGACTGCACCGGTTCTGACGGCTTCTCTGGTGGTTAGAGATGACAGAATGAGAGCTATTACAGAATCAGGAAGCTGGCTGATGCGGTCTTCATTACCATCTATTTCCACGTTTTGGTGATCAATCTCCATAATGAGTCACTCACTTGTTGATATTTCTTCTTTTGGCGAAGATGAGAGAAGAATTGGAGCTCGAGGGGGAGGGAGGGAGACAGGAATGAAAGAGAAGGACTATATTTAGAAAATGTAAGCGAAACTTATGACGACATTGGAGTGTCATGATGGTTTGTGGATGAAGAAACAGGTTCCAGATCGAGAAAGAGATAAGGGAAGGTTTTGGAAATTACGAAGGACGGGCTTGTCCGCTTGCCAAAGTGAAAGGGGAAGCGAAGAAGACTTTATTAGCCGGCCAACATGACCCCATTATGAACATAATTCACATCGTCTTAGTCTTTCCTTTTTTGTTAAAAATCCAAAATCAATTAATTAACCCATTAGAATAAGGGAGCCAAGTAGAGGGTTATACAGTATACATCCACTTTTTGTTTAATTTGTCATTTAAGATTTTAGTACATAAATTAAGAAATGCTCCATTTTTTAACTTCTTTTTTTTTTATGTCTTTAACTAATTAATCTATTTTAATAATTAAGGCTTCTAAAATCAAAAAAATGTATAATGATAGGACTTTAACATGAACCCACTATCCTGGCATTAATATTGTTCAACATCAAGTTCTCAGACAAATTTGGTTTGAATCAGTCAAAACTCTTTCTGGTTAAAATTCTACCATGTTGTTGTATTCCTAAAACTCAAATTAGAGACTTAAGTAAAGCTATACTCCCTCCAGGTCCATTTAATTATAAGTCATACCTAGCATTTTCATCATAATAAAAAAAAATTATTGACGTTGGCTAAGAATTTAACAAGCTTTCAACTTTACATATATTAAATAAATATATATATATTTTTTAAAAATAAAATGCTCTAACATTTAATAACTTTTCTAACATTTAATAGGAGTAATATAATAAAAAAATGGACAAAATAATTATTAAAATATTTTATAAATAAGATCAAAATAAATATTATTTTTATGTCTTATAAACAAAATTAAAGAAGCATGTATATTATCTCATTATCACTACTATTATTAACGAAGCACGTGTGTGTATTTCTTATATGTAGCATGTAAATTCGGGTCAAGTAATTCCATTGAATGAATAAATTATTAAACAAACATTTTGATTGATTTAATAAAATATTTTATTTACATCAGATCATAATTCAACTATAATTATTTTGACTTTTAACCTTTGAATTAATAGTGTTTCAACCAATCTAATTTTCAGTAGGTTGATAGTTTTGGATAGAAAAAGCGGTGGCTAATGAATAGAAGTGGAGCCCAGCGGCGGCGATTTGAACACAGTAAAACGTGGTTGGGGAAGTCCGTCGGAATGCTGCTGTAATTGGGGGACGGTGAGAACGGAGAGGTGAACTTGGAAATGAGTTTTATTTTTGGGACCAAAAACATAGGAAAAAGCGTTGAATTGAATCATTGGGACGAATGGCAGATTAAATTACCTCAATCTTGCCGCCCAATTCAGATACGGCACGGACTTCCCTGCACCTTCCATTAGGGTTGAACAAAACCCCTTCAGTTCGTTTCAATCTAACTTAAAGATAAATTCAATTTTATCTTATTCGAATAAAAATTGATCTTTTAAGGTTAAAAGGGTCAAACTCTCAAATTAGACTAGATAAGAGACCGAGTACTTCAATCACTCAGTCTTGTCCAATCTTACAAAATTTATTTAATATAATTATAATTAATTTATTAATTATTATTATAATAAGATAATTTATAATAATAATTAGTATTTTTTGTGTTTTATATTTGTAAAGTTATAAATACTGAATAAAATTCCATCATTGACCAACCTTAGTCTTCTCCTCTTATTTGTGAAATTTGTTGTAATGAACTTTAGACATGATGAAAATTATTTAATGTTGTTGAAGGTTGTTTCATTTGAATCATACTTTTTGTTATTGTTGGAAATCGTTGTAGATTTATAAGTGTTATTGTTTTGATAAATTTTATATGACTATAAGTAATTTATTATGTTAATTGAATTCATAATGTTAAAATAAATTGCTACCTCTCATAGATAAAAAAAAAAAGTGAGACACTGAATAAGATCATGACTAGTCTTCTAATCCTACTAGACCAGTCTAGTCTTGTTCGACTTTGGATTACACTAGGATTAGACCAAACCACGAGTTAGTTAATTTGGTCCTTTTCATGAAAAGTGTAACATTCGAAAAATTTTAACCTTAATTTATTAACCTAATTAAGGTAGTTAGTGAGTTAATGAGGTGTGTAGCCAAAAGGGCTTAACTTGACATAATTGATGTGATTTTAGCCCTAGAAGTGGGTTCGGATCGATGGCAGGCCACCCAGGCAAGGAAGAGGACGAAAAAGTAAAGAGTTGTGTTCTGTATCACATACCGCGGTGCGTGGTTAGTCCGTCGTGACGCACAGAGGCAATTCAAATGTAACGGGCTCCTCTATGCCATGCGCCGTGACGGAGAATAGCGTATGCCGTGGCGCACTGCCAAAAATTAGATATATCTAATTCGTTTCTGTGTGAAAACAGAAGAGAAAAAGAGGAGGAAAATGAAGAGCTTAGTTTTGGCTCTGCTAAGGCACAATATTTGGTCCCATTATTGATAAATTGGAGCTCCCAAACACCAAAAGTAAGATTATGGTGACTTCTTCTTCATTTCTCTCCCTTATTTATGATTATTTATGGTAGGGTTTGAATTAACAGATGGATTTTCGGTTCACAGGAGCATGGGTCTGATTTCATTGGTTAAAATGAGATTAATAGGAGTGACTTAATATATTGGAACACCAAATTGATGATTTTGCAAGTGGTTAGTCCATGGGAGCATTGAATGTCCAAAAATTAGTATTTATAAGGTAGTTGGGAGAAGTTAATGTGCATTAATGATGGTTTAAGGTGTCATTAATGATAATGTGCATTTGTAGAATCAAATGAGCCCATTGGATAAGAATGGGTATTGATTATGAGTTGATGAAAAATAGTGTATAAGGAGTTTTATATTGATAAAGCTTAAAAAGATAGATAATGATGATATCCTTGTATTTTGGATGAATAGAAATTCGTTTTGGCACTTTTCGGGCTTGTTAAAGCTTTAGGAAGTTGATATAGTGAGGCGTAAATCTTTGACCTCTCAAAGGTTTGAGATAACCGAAAAAAACTTAACTTTTATAGTTAAATGTTACTTGTGTTGTACACATTTTATGAGTTTAAATTAATGATGTATATTGGTACTTGATTGTGAAATGGTTTTAGGAAAGAGAAAACCTTGATTCTACCACCCTTGATGTTTTGTGAAATTACTTGTGATTTATTACTATGAGTGGAGAATTGTGATGAAATAAGAGTTAATTATGAAAATATGTGTTATGTGAGTTCATGTGTCGATAATGAATGTTGAAAATGTATATTATGTGTGAAATATGTATAGTATGATCAATTAGCGGGAGTTCGCTTAGGGAGAGGAGTAGATTGATTGGAAATCCACGTGGTATTAGCAGTGACCGTTGAAATCGGGAACTAAACTTGATATTGACCGTTGGAATTAGGAGGTAATCCTTGTTGCATGGTTGATTTGGGACTGTCTTACTTGTTCTATGAGGGACTCGAACCTAACTAGTCTCCACCGGTTCATGAGAAGGCTAGATTAGGGGTACGGCATCCCATAGTTGTTAGTATTGAGAGAAACTAAATTACATAAGTGATTGAGTTAACCCTGGCCGGGTTGCTCCTCACAAGTGGAAGGCTAGGTTAGTTCGTGAAGGACGTAGCCTTGTGACAGCCATCGGTTTCGCGTCGAAGGTAACAGGAAGATATAAGGTTGGCACATGATCATGCATATAAATCCGACCACATGATTATTAGTTTTGTGGTCCGCCACGTGTTAAGGGACATGATTATTATTTTTGTGACCCTAAGTTATATTTTTGAAAATAACGTGATATGTGTTTTGTAGCAAGCCTAGTCACATGATTGTTAGTTTTGTGAACTGTAGCCTAATGATATGTGATATATGTATTTATGTGCCTAATTTCATCTATTTACAATTAATATGTAACTGTAAGGGTTAAGTAAAACTTGGTTACTAAGTGGTTGTACTCACCTTTCAATTTTCAATATTTTCAAGATCTAGCTCATTGGATTCAAGTTGGGAAAAACATATTGAGGCTTAGGATTAGTGGAGTAAATCCTCTATATGCCTCTCTTTTGCTATTTACATGTGTACTTGTTAATGTCTTCGCCAACTAGGAGCAATTGTCATAATTGGTGCACTACTTACATGATTTTGTATTTAACTGATGCATTTTGTGCCCTGGGTTAGTGAGTTTTTTTTATGAACTCGTGGATAGAACCAAAATACTTGTTCAAGTAAGAACATATGTATTTTTGAGAAATATGAATGAAATGATTGATTTTGTGAAACTTTTCCTCCCCTTTTATATTTTGTGAAAATTGGGGTTGAGTGGTGATTCTGTGAAATAAGTGTGTTTGATTCATGTGGTGTGTTGCACGAGTTCGCAAGAGTCTATTGAGTATGGAAGGAGGGTTGGTGTAGGTTATTGGCACGTGTGGTTGAGTTGAGACACCCCAATTAAAAAATTTTGTGAAAATGTGTCAAAATGAGTTTTGGTGTCTAACTTTTGATAGAAAATGAATTTGAGTGTGAAACCGGTGCCAGTAGCCAGAGCTAGGAGAAAGCTCCGTGTAGACACCAAAACAATCTCAATTGGACATCGAACGAAGATTTGGGACGTGTCAAAAGTTTTCCCCTGATGCTATCAAATGATAGCATTAATTTGTCAAAATTCATATAATGCGCCACGGCACATGGCACAAAGAAGACATGTCGAGGCGCACGTGTCATTTTTTGCATAGAAATGATTTTTGAGTTATAAAACTCATTATTTTAGATCTCAATTAATTTTCAAGCTTCCGCTTTATTTTTAAAACTTTGATTTGAAGTCTTTAAATTATGTTTGAGATTTCAAATGATAAATTGGGATTCTTGTAAAATAATTCTTGAGAAAATTCTCTTTAAAACCTTATATTACTATGATTTGGAGTTAATTTATAGTTTAACCTCAATGAGATTAAAAAAAAAAAACCATACTTCAAGTTACGTCAAAATCCTAACGGGTCGATCCTTTGTACAGCCCTACCTCCCATCAAGTTTTATCCCCACCTCAATGTGGATATTCCTATGGCCTCATTGCCACCTTCATCTCCCTAGTTATAAATTATAAGTGTGTGATTGGTTTTTAATTTACATATGACAAAAGTTTATTTAAAGATTCAACTATTTATTAAATTTGACAAAAATATACCCCAAATGTAATTTGAATATATTTTTAATAGTTATCCAAATAGGCCATGACAAGTGTATCAAACTTTTGTCTTACTCTTTCTGTTACACTTCAAAGAATCACTCTTATATTTATTTTTAAAAAAATTATATTTTTAAGTGTAATGTTCTCTTTTAACAATTAAACGACAATTAATTAATTAAAAAATTATAAAAAATACCTTAATAATTACACAACAGAATTTAAAATTTTCAAATAACTACTTATAAGAAAATTAATATAAATTAAGTTTACTAAATTAAAAATAAATATCAAGATATAAATGTTATTTCTTTCTCATATAAAAAACTAAATTGTCATTCTGACCTCCCCTTTGATTGGCTACTAACAATTGTCGAATCACCATTATTGACAACTCAAGCAAATAACTAAAATATTTTAAAAATATCTTATTAAAATATTAATTATCTTATGAGAGTGAAATTTTTCTTCCTTGTCATATATTAATGTTGTTTAAACAATGATATTCAATCAAAGAAATTATTTTTACTCATTGGTCTAAAATATTAATTATATTGCGAGTCCCCTCAAAAGCAAGAAAGATAGAGAGAGAAGCAGGATTTGGGGGATTTGAGTGGAAGAAAGATGCAGCAGAAGAAGCCAATATATATAAATGATGCTAGCTAATTGAAATAGATTAAAGAAAATTAATTAAGACAAATCCAAGTTCTTTGGTACGTACCTGGAGGATATCTATCAATTACTCTAATCAGCATTGATCTGGATCATTTCTGGAGTTCCACCAAACACTTCATAAGAGAGATATCTTCTTCCGATGGAGTGATCAGTGGAACGCTAGGTAACACCAGACTTATATGCTTCTTTTCTTCTTACTTCAAATCTTCATATATATATATATATATATATATATATTGATGACGTGTTTTATTTTTATTTTTACTTATCTTTGTCAGAAGATAAATTATTTTTAGTATAGTCAACTTGGATTAGAAGGCGGACAAAATGGATGCTGCCGAAATAATGACCAGTTGCCAAAGTCAAAGCCTGATAAAATTTTGAGTGTGATTCCTTTTCATTTCATTTCATTTATTTTTTCAGTTTTTGTGACAATATTTAGTTAAAGGAAAAATTGGTACGAAGGACCATGAGATAAAGATATTTGGAAAAGAGGATTAAGGTCCTTCAAGTAAATTAAGGTTAACTTAATCCTTAATCCTTTATCTCATGGTCCGTTTTAGCAATTTCCCTATAGTTATATATCCTAAAGAGTTTTAAGGAAAAACATAATATTGAGTCCCTCCATTTTGCTTGAATTTTGTTGTAAATCTCTGCATTTTTTTTTAATTTTAGGTCCGTATATTTTTATTTTTCAGTATTCTAAATCCTTCTATGAACGGCGTTATAAGAATTTAAAACACTAAAAAATAAAAATATATGGACCTAGAGCATCGAAAAAAATGTAGAGACCTATAGCAAAACTTTAACAAAGTATAAGGATATAAAGTCATGTTTTCTCAAATTTTAATGAGGCCATGTTTTTTTTTAATAAAGAAAATCATGTATAAGTACCAAATAAAAGACTTGTTTATAAATAAGTTTGCAATTGTCATGATTATGACAAAATCATACTGTCCTAATTTCAAGCCTATTTAGTTGTAAACCACAATATTTCAATCATGCATTTGTGATGATCAGTTGTAAAAATGATAGGAGAATGATATTTTTGTAAGCTTATGTTTACCACTAGTCCTCACAAATTTAATCAAAATATCATAATTTATGCAACTAAAATTTCTTTAAAATTAAACAGCCATGAAATTCAGGCAATGTAGTTTTTTCATGCATATGACAAATTATCATAGTATGTAAATTCAATTCATGATGCACACAAAATGTTTCACTACAAAGGTACAAGTCAAAATGTAATATATTAATGCGTCAAAGTTGATCCTACAAGAAATCAAGTATAATGACAATTAGGCAATAAAATTCCTACTTTCGTTCACATTAAGCTAAACAAATTAAAATCGATTGATTAACCAAAATTAAAAATTAAAATGAATAAAATGCATTAAGATTCTTAATCCAACAACTATAAATGTCTAAGGCAACTTAGAATTATTAATCGCTTGCTAGCTTCATAGATCTTGCTTTTACCCAATTAATTAATTTCAATGTTAATTTTGTTAATCTAGAGTGTTGGTGGCTATAATGGCCTTTTGAACTTCAAATAACCCTCTCAAATTAATTATATTATTTCTAACATAATTATTCATTAGGCAATTTCAATTTCAACTCACTCTAATTTAATTATATGAAGTAATTAGGTATATTTCTATTCTAATTGTAAATTAGATAATAATCTAATTCCATATTACTCAATATAAAGGTCCAAATGAGATTCTCCTTTGCAACACCCAAATTCATATTTAATGATGGCCACACATTAAATAGATAATTAAATGCAAGATATAGTAACCAAGCTCAAAATTAAACATAACTAATGGGTAAAAACAAACTCTAATCCATCAAGTTCATAGTTACTCTAAGTCAAATAAATTTAGCCACTAACAACTATTAAAACAAGACAAATCAACAATATTCAACAAAAGTTACATCAAAATGTAGAAAAAAGGAAGAAGAAAGCTTAAGAGGAATGATTTTTATTATAAATCACAAGACCCAAGTGTTTTTCAAGCTTTTCCAACTCTTTCTTCACCTTTAAATGCTCCCTGGATATGCAACTGTTGGTTGAAGATTAAATAGATCGAAAATGATAGCTAGAAACCCTTAAAACATGATTTTAAATAAAGTTGTGTGCTTTGCTAAAAGCTAGTTTAATATCGTAACATTTAAAATTGGTGTTACAACATCACTAAGCAGAATTTAGTTTCTTGTGGGCTTTAAAATTATCAAATTTGAACCTATAAATTGAGCCTTTCTGTATAAATAAAATCTAGATTTAATACCATAATTGATCCAATAACTTTTATAATTTTTTTAAACTTTATCTACTTTCAATCTCACAAATAATTATCCAATTAATCACATATTTGCTAATTCATTTCACAAAATAACTTTCAATTGCATTAAAAACACTATTAAATTTATTAAAATATTGAAAGTCATTAATTCAACTTGCCCAACTAAATCAATAAACCATTGAATCAGTCTCTTGATCAATTTAATAAAATATTTTATTTATAGCCAATTTGATTACAATTATATTACAATTTTGATCATTAACTTTTAAACTAATATCTTAATTGGTTGAGTAACAAGTTTGATTTTTGTGACCTTGCAAATTACTACCAAGTCTCAAGAAACTTAATGTATATTTGCAAATTCATGAAATTAATTTATAAACAAATCCCTTGTATGAGATTTATACGTAATTTTTTCTTTCTTTCTTTTTTTTTAAAAAAAAAACTTTCCAAGTCAAACACAAATACAACAATCATGTGGGACCACGTTTCCCATAAGTATATCTACCAGAAATTTTAAAATTAAAATTATTAAATTAAATAATCTATATTTCTAACCGTAAGTATAAAAACAACACCAAAAAGATATATGAAAATCACATTCTATTTTTACACTCGTTACATATTTTGTTTTTGATAATACATGACATCCTTTCTTTTTCAACTTTTTGAATGCATTATATACACCTCATACAAAATTATTGAATGATAATAAATAGAAAAAAATAAATATATAAATATCTCAAAAATATTTAACGAGGTTGAATACTGTGTTTTCAAGCAGATAAAAACGTATGAAAAGATAAGATTCGATATGACAACGAAAATAAATGATTCCTCGTACCTCTATCTAAACTGCTGGTGTCATACCCATTATTACCAACTATATAATATCATCAACCAATATATATATAATAAAATATAAAACAAAATAACATAATTACTATGTGCTTCCAGTTATATTCACATCGTCTTTACAATGCAAAACCTGATACCAAATACTAATGGTTCAGTTGGTTTCCATTGTGGAAGGGAATGCTTGACATCGTGACCAAGATTTATTCAATTCAAGTGCCATAATCTGAACCAAAAAAGCAAAACAATAAAAAAGAAAAGAAAAAGAAAAAGAAAAAGAAAGGAAAAGAAAAGAAAGCAGTGTAAATTTGATCAGAAAAGTTTTTTTCTTTTTTCTTTTTCCAAATCTTTAAATAAGGTCATCTGATAGAACAATTGCGAGAGAAATACAAGATTCAAAACCCATAAAAAGAAAAAGGGTTCATAAGCTGAAATCAAGTATACAATCACCAAAATATTCCTTGTGCCAGATATACCAGAACCTGCTTAAAAGACAAATCTTTCTCCTGTATCTATGTTCACAAACAAGAATGATGGTTACAGAAATGCCGTAACATAACTCGTCATAATTTTCATCAACTTTCATCTCTCAGTCTATCCTCGTACTGCTGTACCACGTAACATCACCTTCTCCACTTAGGTTGGATCAACTTCTCTGAAATTAGATAAAATTTGATTGAACACAATCAGATTTTTTGGAATTACAATTGAACACAATCAGATTGATGAGTGGAAACAGCAATTTGCGTGCCATTGCTAAGGTTCAAGTTGCGCAGGGCAAGTCAGCAAAACAAGCAATCAAGAATCAAGATACACATGTTCTATTTTATAAACCATAAAAAAAATTTGGACTGAGAAATTTCATTCTGAAACAAGTAGGAGAGCTTTAACAATGTTGTCCCAGTCCTCAAGCAGACTAGAAACAAGTATGCATTTCCTTATGAGAATGTTCTTCAAAGGCATGGCTATTATACATATAGGAGGAAAAGAAAGAGTCAACCAATTTTTATCAAATCCAAAAACGTATAAGCAAAAGTATAAAATCTGGAATTCTTACCACTCCCATCCCTTGAAGATGACAGAGATCTATCAGTTCTATTTACTCCCTTGCTGCTCAAAGCTCCCAGACTTTCTGCTAGTGGAGAAATTGAACCTAACTTGCCATTGACCGAAGATGAAAGTGAATGCCGCCTGGTTGAACCATTTTTATCTACCAATTCACTAACAAGCCTAGGGGAGCCTTGTCCTCTTACCCTAGCTTTTGCAGATTCAGTAGGAGCCATGTAACTGGGCAGTCTTGGAGTTTTTTGCACACCGTCATCTTGACTGTCAAACTTAGCAGGCAGTGAAGCTCTTCTCTGGTAATTCTTAGGGCTCACACTGTCAATACCATCATCTTTACCATTCTTCAATCTAGACTGCAAGTTAGATATGGGAGAACCATGTTCATCTTCTGCTCGTTGTGCAAGGCCTTGCTCATAATCAGACTGTTTGGATTTTGACATAGCTGATTCTTTAATTTTTCCTGCAGAATCATTTGGTCCTTGTTCTGAAGCATCAGTGACAGTATGACCAGATTCTCTTCTTGGTAAGTCTTTTCCTTTCCCATTAACAGTCTCAGATCTATCAGAAACATTCTGCTTGAGTGGTTTTCTTAAATTACTTTTCTCAACTTCCTTCTGTGCATTTTCTTGGCCTGAATGTGATGGGTGAGTTGAAACCTTTTTTGGGCGCTGTTTATTTTTGCTTGAATCTGAGACGGAACCATCATTAACTTTTACACCAGAACTTTTCCAGCCAATTCTTTTAACTTGGCCGTCATTATTTCTGTGACTGTTGCAAATTTTCTCACTAGATGCTGAGTCAAGTTTTGTTTTTGATTCCAGACCCAGAAGAGGTGCCCAGAAGTGAGAATTCGTCCAACGGTCAAGCCAGTCTGAAGCTAAATTACGTTGTTCAGGATTATAGTCGATACATAGAGGAGAGACAGAGGATAATGAAGCCAGAAGCTGAGAGATAAAACAGCTTATTAGAAAAACGTTGGTTCAAAATTAGGAAAATGGGAACAGTGGAAGATTATACATCAGTATGGGCCTTTTTTAGGCCATATAAATGCATAATCATAGTACAAAAGGGAATGAAATTGGCTTATAAAATGCATCAAGTTATAAATTTTCCTCTTATGACACATGATTCACAGGCTTAGTGAATGAAAAACTGCAGCCACGTATTTATGAATTCCAATAACCGTTGCTGCAAATTAATGTGTTTCTCCATAAAACATAAAAGAGATAGGCATTTAGGTCAAACAATTGGTTTTCAAACTTAGTCCCATATCATGTGAAAATAAAAACAAGTAGCAACTAAGTATTCTCAGTGTAAAAAGGATTACGCAAGCAGTTCCCACCTTGTTAACAAAGACACTTTTTGACAGCTTCTCTGTCTGAGTAGATGCTGATGCTTCAACAGCAATTAAGCATTTAGTATCCTGACCAAAAAAAATATAGTGAGGAACATTCAGTAGAGTAACAAAAGAGAGGTAACTGACAGCTTTAATCCTTTCATCCATGTTTAAGATAATATGCCATAATATGATAATATGCCACAGACCATTGGATTAATTAAATAGATCCAGGAATCCTTACCTTGCAAATTTTATGCACTGCAAGACCAATATCAGAACGCCTAACCTTGTTACCACGAACCAATGCTTGAAATTTAACAATTCCTTTCACACAGTATAAAGTAGCAACAGCTTGTTTTCTGACCAAGTTACCACGGATAAGGGCTTGCAACTGTACAACACCTTTGAGTGTTTGAAATTCCCGTCGAGCCTTCAAATGAGTATAGATACAATAATCATTCATAAGGAGAACAAGATTTATAAAACCTTAGAATACTTGCATGCAATAATTATTTAACAAGAAAAATCCAATGGCTATAGCAATTATATTATCAAATTATCATAGCAGAACTCCAAAGAATAACACATTAACAGAACTTTGGACTGAAGAACAGAATCACAATCCAGAGAGAAGAAAGCACTTACATCACTAGGTAAAAAGTCGCCCCTCAAAAGATTTTAAAATAGCAAACAAAATGGAATATTTACGAGGTTTAATCATGTTTAATTTCTAATGGAAACATATAAATAAGATGTAATTACCTACCTGATAACTTCTAAAAGCAGTCTGAGCTTTTATAGCAGCTTGGTTAAGCTTGATTTTCTCAGGATCATCCTGTGAACCAAAACCAACAACAACTTGTGCACTGGTCTCCTCATCTCTAGCTGAGAGAATAACCCTGTCGTTTGACAATTCACTGACTAAGCCCTTTTCGGAAAGGCATCCCTTGCTTGCAGTAGCTCCTGAAGTGGGTTGGGATATCACTGTTGAATCTGCAATTGGATCAGACACATGTGCTTCAGAGGACACTGCCAGCACATCCTTGGTACTTGAGGGTTTCTTGCAAAAAAAAAAAAAAATTGAAACCAAAATTAGAACTTGCATATTACACAATCTGAAGTACCCACAGCCTGTAGCCAACAGAGTCGTAAACTTAAAATTATGTACAGAAATTTTATACTGCATCTGTATATCCTCCGAGGGGAGGTGGGAAGATTTGGACTTCAACATTGACTTAACACAAGCTTTGCCTCCGTATTTCTTGCTACTGCATATTTCTAAAACATCACCCAATCACAAGCTTCCCCCAGTATTTATCTCTTCTACATATTTGAAGTGCATGACGACGACAAATTTATGATAAGGCAGCCTTTAACAACTTGAAATGTATCATTCTTGAAGCACACATGACCAATTACTTCTTTTGAAAAGAATGTGCAGATTACAGACATAATTGACCTAGGGAATCAGGTTTACAAATTAAAAAAAAAAACAAATCAAACAATCAAAAATTTTGGGGAGATATCAAAATGTGACACAAGCTGATGCATCCAATCAGTCATAATATAAATCCCATTGATCACCTGGTGTCGATAAAATAGACTTATCACAAGTCTAAGAGTTTCCATATAAACACGGCCCAATAAGGCACACATGACCTAGTAAGAGATTCATATTTTCATCCTTTCATATACAATGTAGGATAAACATGAGATAAGAGTGTCAATTAAAAAGCCAAACAACAGAAAAAGAACTTACAAAGGAATCTTTCCTTTTTGATGAATGAGACTTTGATTTCTTCCCCGAAAGTAAGGCCTTGATCCATTTTCCAGGAGTCTTTCCCATCACGGCAGATATCAGGGCTTCAGAGACTAAAGAAATCAGGTATCAAAATCTGAAAGAACATTATACAACTGAAACTCGTGTACATTTTCGTGAACGAAGGTTGCACATAAACTAGGAACCAAGCATTGAACAAGAACAAACAAAAAGGGGAAAGGACAACTAGGCGACAAATTACTATCTTCAATTTAAAACAAAAAATAATGGAAATAGGAGTGCAGGACCATAAAGTTCCAGCTCAGTACCTGTTACGTACAGAATAAACTGAAAATTCCAAAGTCAAGTTCCACTATCTATTTTTTAATACCGACAAAGAACCAAGTCAAATGAGCTTATATGCTAGCCCCAGGAAGACAACTATTTCCACACCCTAACGACAAAGTTCACATTTTTTCTGAAAACGAACAGAAAAATAAACAAAAGACAGCAAAAAAAAAATGTAAAAAGCAAACCTGAGTTTGGATATGAAACCTGCTTAAGCCAAGCTGGGGCATAAAATGACTCAGGAAAGTAGAAGCTAGATCAAAGCACAACCTCAAAATGCAGCAGCGGAACCCTAAGCTTCCATTGCTGAAGAACAAAATAACGAAGCAACAAATCAATAAAAAGATTGCGAATCAAGTAGTGAAATGTCGGAGTTAAGGGGGAAAATGAAGAGCGAGGCAAAAGAAAACATTTGAAAGAAATTTGATAAATTCACCGCACTTATGACGATGCAGCTGAGAGCAGAAGAGGGTGGGCTTTGGAGGTAAGTTTTGCTTTTTACTCGCTCCAGCAAACACAGGCGGAGACTGCAGGTGGTAGCAGTAAATCCCCTGAATTAGCGCAATAGATAGATGCCTTGCACAAGACTGACCCCCGGAAGAAATTGGATCTACACTGACCAATCTATTAACAGAGTAATCAATTCGTATAATACAGTATTATTTTCTCTCCGTCCCATTTAAACTCTTTTCTAAAGTGTTGTCAAAAGAATTTATAAAAAAAAACACACACACACACAAAATAAATTGTTTAATTAGTGATGGTGATGCTATTTTATCGTACATTGGTATCTTTATTAAATGCTATCGTTTTTTCAACTTCAATTAAATTCCATCATTTATAAGGGATATTTTTAAAAAAAAAAAATATTTTAATTACTTTTAAAACTTTGCAATGAGATTCATAATTAGAGATAAAACAATAATAATAACAAACTTTATCATATTATTATGTAAGGGTTGATTACATGGATTAAACAAAGCTATTAAATTACCATATTGGAATGAAACAAAAAATCACAATCAAAATGAGACCCCAAAAAAAAAAAAACCCACTAAAGCAACTCTAATATGAGAATACGACTATACGAGATGGTGGTAGAAGTACGGAGCAATAATTATGTGAACCAATGTATATCTCACACTGACTCTCTGTTAAATGTATAGAAGAAAATGAGTTATGGATGATACATCCATTTTTTCCCGTGCATCATAAAATCTTGTTAAAATTCAAGTTCTCATAAAATTGCAAGAAACTTCGTTTAGAGAAATCGTACTCGTACTTAATTTATAACTTACAATATCTTGACTTTTAATCAATTTTATATTTTATAATGAAATTAATGGATGTTAGTGATAAAGAAATTATTTCGATTCCTTAATAATTTAACAAAAGTAAATCCTATTAGTCTTTAGGTTTATACCAATAGAATGAAATACTTTACTATATATATATACACGTATAATTATAAACTTATTTTTGAACAACAATAATAATTAAAAAAATTTATATACTCCTTTTATTAATATTATAAACATGTTAAAATTTACTTGTTTTAATTTAATTGAATAAACATAAATTAAATATATAAAGTTAAGTATATAAAATTATCCTAATAATTAAACTCATGTTCTTTTGGCCAACATTCTAAAGCCATGAATTTTTTATAAATTATTCATATTATAGTAAATTATTTTTATTAATATTTAAAATTAAATTCTTTGATTTAAATAAATAAAAATATATTAAATATATAAGGGTGTACAATCTAATTTAAATTTATCAATAAAAATAAATAAATAATTTAAATAATGATAAAGTCAAATACTTATTAAACTTTTAAACATAATTAATAAATTCTAATATTTTCCTTAACTTTAATAAAATATATTAAAAATAACAATATATAAACAAAAACTATCGTAGGGAGGTCAGAACTCACATCCTCTTCCCCCTACCAAGAGTGACATATGAACCACTGAGCAATAAGCACATCCACTTTATTAAAATATATATATATATATATATATATGTTGAATGCACTTAAATTAAAATTTTAAAAAGGTTAACGGTTAGCACAACGTATTCAAGATTGAATATTGTATTAGGAGAGACAATTGGGATGCCAAAATGGATCTGTTTGATAAAAAAAAAAATGAAAATTAGTTGTCCCCTGTCCGTTGTCAGAGACAAAACCAACAAGCTAAAAGTCAAACCCAATCCTTAAATTTCAGAGCTTTGCTGTCACAGTAAGAACTGAATAACAGACTAATCAACTGAACGCATCCAAAAACTTCAAAAAAAAAAAAAGTATTGTTAGGCAAGGATAAATTACAAAATATCATTTAAAAAAAATTAAATTTATATTCTCATTTTAACAATAACTTATTTTATATTAATTTTATAAATAATTTTTTTATATATTCTTGAATGTTATTTAACAAAAAAAAAAAAAGACTAATCAACTTTGTCCCTCCCCTCCAAATAATGATCACAATAATGGTAACAATCATCCATCTCTGTCATCCTCTTAAGTTTTTTATTTGTCTAAATTCCTCCAATTAATAAGGAAAACATAAACTTATACTTCGACTTTGGCACTGCTCTCCGATCCATATTATAATGCAAATCTAATTGCATTATCAGAAGTAAGAAAAAATAGTTAAATTATTAATTTTATCTAAAAATTTAATAAACTTCTAATTTCACCCATATTTAAATGAAAAAGTTTTCAGATTTGCATTATATTTTCTCTTGTACTCAATAAATTTAAATAAAAATAATATTAAAAAATGTAATTAATATATCATTAAGTACCTTATATTAAAGATCAAAGAATTTTTTTAAAAGGTTACCTATAATAGGGACCCAAGGGAGTACATTATTTTATGAATAGATTAAGTCTCTTAATTTGAGTAGGAATCTCTAATAATCAACTGATGAATTCCTATTTTTTGTTATATTTGATGTGTTTTTTGTTATAATTTAGGAGTCATCAATGAAAAATAAAAGCATTCTCTTACTTTTATGAAGAGAAATTAACTAAATGCATTGTAAATTTAACTAAGCATTTTTCAGTTATATTTGCTTTTATAAATTTTCAATGAAAAATGTCACACCTGAACTATTTTATACTCTTGTACAAATAAACAAAGTTTAAAAATTTATAAGTAAAAGTTTTAATATTTACATGTACGTATTCAAATATTTACAAGTAAACATTTACATCTTGATAAGTAAAGGTTCAGAGTTAACGTGTTGCTAAAGTTCATAAATTTACAATTAACTGTCTGAATAATTATAAATATGAGTTCAGCTATTCACAATTTAAAATCTAAAATTTCAACTTCAATGTTTACAACTCACTGATAGCAAGATATTTACAACTTCTGTAACCGTTTTGCAAAAATCTCATTGTAGTCCCATAAATCCTAGAAATCTCAAAGAAGCCAGAATCTTTATCGCTGCCACACCAAGACTCAACGCCACTACTACGATTCTTCAAGAATCCCCAATTACACAAAGTCAAGGACTTTTGCAGTAAAGTTGGACATAGCTGATTAAAAGTATTGTTCTTTTCGCATGATTAATAGCTATGAATCTGAAATATGAACACAAAAACTGCATCTTGCAATAAGTTAATTATTTGAAACTTTATAATCCAAATACATATTCCGTGCCCTATCCAACTCATATTTGCGTTTACATTCTGCAGCCTCAGCTTGAGCAGAAGCCATTCTCATGGCTGAACCCTCCTCCAATCAAACTCTCTCCACCAACCACAATCAAACGATGTCGTCGAAATGAGAAAGAGGAGGGAGAGAAGGATGAGGACGATGGAGAGGAAGAGAGAGGGGGAGGGAGAGGAGAGGGGCAAGAAAAGATAGATTCGTGATTAGTTTTGAGAGGCAAATGGGTCTTTTCTGATAAAACAAGTTTTCATCTGAGACCTCTGGGCCTGCACAGACATTTTAAATTGTATTGGATCTTAAATATAATTTTTTCTCCTCTAAGGGCCCTCGATTTCCCTTTTTATTATTGGTAGACAGGTAGAGTGTGTGCATATGCATATATTATAATACTTTGAAATAGATAAAATGCTGCGCTTTTTTTTTCTTTATAAATTTAACTATGTTTTGACTATAGTATTGGAACTACGGCTAAATTAATTATAGATTCAATTTTTGAAATTATTATAAATATTTTAATTCAATTAGATTTTGTATGCTTGGCTGAGTTGGCTCCTTAACATTTTCCTTGCCCCATCCAACTCTTGAATTTGTCTCGTTCCAAGTCCAATAACGTCAACTAATTGCCTGTGGCGTTGTTATTTGACATAGCTACCGACATGACAAAAATGTCTAATTTTGAGGTGGAGAATTTTTTTTTTTTCTTGGAAATGTTTTGTTTTGGCTTGAAAGAGAAGGAGCTATGAAACACTAATATTTTAAATTATCTCACATATTCATATTAATATTGTATCTAATATCAACTCATCTATACTTCTTTTACATATATCCATAAAATATTATTTTTTAATTTAAAATTTAATTTTTGATATGTCTTTAATATTTTTAAATTTTGAGTTAATATTTCAAAGCTAATACTTTCAAAAAAAATTTATGAAATTAAATTTGATTAAAGATTGCGATATTAAACTTTTTATTACTATTATATTTATTTCCTTGTTATTACTAATTAAGTTTTGGATGTAATAAAAATAAAGATTACATTCTTCTTAATTATAAAAATGTGGGAATGTAATCTTATGATATATAAAGTTATAAACCCTAAGAAAGTTACAAATAGAACCATATGTATAAGCTATCCCTTTTTTTCTTTTTCTTCTAATGATGGTCAAGGAAGAGAAGATATTGATGCATTATCTAATAATAGGATGATTGTATTTCACTTGATATTAATATAAGGGATGGGGTGCGTGTGTGTTAGTTTAAATATTTTTTAAATTAAAATTATATTTTTAATATTTTTGTGATTTTTTATAAATATATATGTACTTATCAAAAATGTATTATATCTTATGTTTTTTTAGAATGAAAGAATTGACATACAAATATTTATCATTTCCTACATACGTAGCAGTATTTATGCATTATAGAGTGAGAGGGGAGGAGTGGGGAGTGTTTTTATGTAACCTTGTTTGGTTTTATCAAAGAAAAGATGTTTTTAATGATCTTTTATTTAGCTCAAGATGGGAGGGAGGAAAGGTTATAACCAAATTACTATTATACCCATATAATATATGAAAATATATATTATTTTTCTTACTTCTATGTTATATAAATTAATTTACACCACAAACAAATTCTATAACCCACTATTATCTTTTCACAGCCTTCTGCTCAGCTGAAAAAGATGAAAAGAATGAAAATATCTATTAATTGACTAGAGGCAAGAATGTAGGGAGAATGATAGATATATAATAATTAATTTAAATTAAGTCATAACTAATTTTAAAGGATTAAATTTTAAAAATTTATAAGTTTGACTCTCATTTTATAATTTCATTGTAATAAATGCAACTTATGTTGTAATAAATGCAACTTATGTTTCAAATTTTAATAGAGAAAATAAATTTATTTATTTTTAAACCATATTA